TCGTCTGTTCGGGCTAATTTTGGGAACGGCTCAACCGATTGTAAGGAAGCTTTACGAACAGATACAGAACAATGTCTGGAGTGATCTAGGTTTAACTTTATACAAAAAAACATTTTAGATTTTTTTTGAAAAAAAAACTAAAATTTGGGAAAAGAGATGCCTTTAATTAACTTAAATCTAAATAACGCCACATGAATGAGTCCTACCTAGGTGCGGCTTGGGCGGATTGCTAATATTATAAAACTAAAAAATTGAGCCGAAAAAAAAACGTATTATGAGGTAACTTCGCACCTATGTGATTTTAATTTAATTCAAACTTTATTTATCAATTTGAGATTGATTTTATATTCTTTTTGCTATTATGTTTTTGAAGTTAAATATTAAATATTCTGTATTTTACATATAATTAAGTTGAATTGATTTCACAGATTTTTCACGATATAATCGATTATTCAATATTTTTGTTACCGACAATTAAAAAAATGCAATTATAATACAATATTAAATATTACGATAAATTTTAATGATGATTATATGAGGCACTTCTATTCTGAAGGCGCAAGACCATTTTATATTCCCCTTTATTCAGTAATAGTTTTATACCTATTCCGTCCAACATTACAGGACATTATACGTGGTAGAGCTATGCTGCAGCTATATTATGGTTGTTACACAAATGGGTTGGCTTAACTGGAGAAGGACTACGCTCTCACAGAATACCAGCGTAAAATAGTAGCTGAATGCTTCTGTGTATCGTTTGGTGAAAGTAGACCCTATTTACGGGAAACGAGGCATTATATCTTAGTCCTCCAAGGTGACAACGCATCTGCATTTGAATTCTTAATCGAGGATAAATGTGGATGTTTATGGGTCACATTATCCACTTACCATTAGGTGGACTGTGTGCTCGTTTGTCCCCCTTATTCTATAAAAAAATAAAAATATGATTTGATTTATATTGCTTAATTATTGTTCTTTATAATACAGGCTCTTGCAATGTGGTAAACTCGGGTTTAATAATATATGAATGCCATCAACGATTACATGAGGTATGTAAACACAACAATTAGAATCAAGTAACACAGTGGATCAAGGGGTAATGACGCAGCAAACATACTGGCCAGGAAAGGATCGGCTATGGCCAGTATTGGACCGGAATCGATCATATCAACCACTTTTTGTAACGTTCATTCACTGTTCGTAAAAACGTAAAAACGTTAGTAATCAACACGCTCAGCTTTGGAAAAGTCAAGTGGACTGTAGGTAAGCTAAGGAGACCCTCCCAGAAATAAACAGTCGTATCACCAAGGTCTTAATGAGATTGCAACAAGCCACAGATCAGGATAGCGACAAGTGACATTACAGGACATGGGTCTTTTAACAAACATTTGTTTACTATAGGTGTTAGAGATAGTCCCCGTTGCAGAGCGTGTATGGGGGAGGAGGAAACGGTGGCCCACGTGTTGCTGGTATGTACGGTGTTTGCTACTAGACATGTGTCAATCATTCACAAGTCACGCGTACTGGTCTACTGGTACATCCGGATCGATCATTCATGGATCATTTCAGGCTCCAGTACTCTGTGAGTCTGTGAGATCCATTGGGAACCGAAAATTTTCTATTTGAGATATGTAATAGCGCCATCTACTACATGCTATAGGTAGTAAAGTCATTTTATCGAACTAAAACTTATTAACTTTCAAGGTGGTAAGAACAATCGACGCTATATGGCATAAACAAAATAACCTCAAATTATCATATATTTTAAATATTTAATAAATTTGTTTATTCTTAAATGTCATTCCTAACAATACACAATTTCATCTTACTTTACATGTCTAATAATAGGGATTGTAACATTTATTTGCTACGAAATTAAACTTTTACCTATCTTATACTTATATAAGGTGATTGAAAATTATCATTTAATAAATTATTTATCATGAAATCTTTTGAAGTGTTATTTTTAGTAAACTCTACGAAATGATATTTTTAACTCATAGATTTAACAAATAAATATAATAAAATGTAAAATGATTTTTAATTTAGGTAACAATATTATAATAAAAATCCCTTAAATAATAAATACTGATACTCTGCAGTTTCCGTATATATTACTCTACTCTATGCTCTGCAGTCTTTAATTCGATTCGCCTGTTTATTCAGATCAATCGGGATTCGGTCGGTTAGCGGCTCATTCAAAATTCAAACAAATCGCGGGCTAAAAAGGTACCGTCAATCGTTTGTGATTGGTTATACTAGTACATTCAAAAACAAATGAATTAACCATCAATACTTTTAAGTGTACTAGCTCAAAGAAACGAATCATGCATGATTGACACTCTGCTTGCTGCGATAGCTCCCCGAAGTTCCTCGCAACATCAAAGGGCTGTTGAACATCTTCGGGGAAATTTCATGCCTCAAATAATCATAATATTCCTGTCCACACGCAAAATACGCGCCTACACGAGGGATTGCGGAAACAGCCCGTCGTAAACTAAACTAATAATTAACATTTATTAGATTTAGATTGCGAATATCCTAGACTTATCCGATTTTATCGCGTAGGCGCGGGTAAGTTAGACTGAGCGAGTGCCTCTGTTTTCGCGTACACTGTGGTTCTATAACTACTCTTGCGCAGGTGATAGCTTCCGTGAAAATGCTTTACTTGTCTCCATAGTCTAAAGCGGATCGAATACGATTTTAAAGTTTATTTATTCATCTTTAACCTAACAAATACAAATGCGTACAATAAATTTAAAGTGGTCCAGTAATTATATTTCCAACACCATCGCTCACTAAGTACAATTAGCTTACAGCCCTTCGAAAATTCATAAATTGCCTCATAATAATAACAACAGCGACGAATTTTTTTATAGAATAATGGTGACAAACGAGGACACAGTTCACCAGATGATAAATAGATGCTGTGGCCCATTTACATCTACATTTAACCTTGCTTAAGAATCAAAATGTAGATGCGTTGTCACCCTTGAGAACTAAGATGGAATTCCTCTATTCAAGTATAACGGATCTCCGGTTCTCTACACTCACCATACAAAGCAGAGCAGCATTAAGCTGCTATTTTACACTAGTCCTTCCTCGGTCGAGCCGACCCATTCATGATACAACCACAAGAGCTGCAGTGTGGCTCTACCATGTATAAAATGGGACATATAAAGATATCTCCCATGTTTGCCACAGTTGCTACGTTTGGCATGCGGGTTGACAACCAATGTTTCTTATTATTATTTTATCCTGTTTCATCTCACTCTGCCACCTCTTACGACAGCCACGGGCTAATGGAGGGAAGTTGAGAATCTTCCACCGTCACTACACCGTATGAGGTACAATTTGTAGACCTGCGTACCTTTATTAGTATTTAAAACAGGTTACACCTTTTAATAATTTTTAAACAGTTTCTCCAAATGGAACAAGTCTATTTTAATGTACTTTTATTACAAGTAGTTGTAATCTTTATTAAGAGTTTTACAGCAATATCACTTCTGTTGACGGAGGGGCTAGTGATCCCATAGCACAGGGCAACCTAGTTTGGGCATCAGTCTCCCACCTAGATGTTATTTAGTTAGTATTTATAGCTGTTAGCTGTATAAGTTTACTTGTACTTATTTTATTGTAAAGTATTGATAATATGTGGGAGAAAATAAATACTACTTTATTATTAACTTATTATTATAAGTACATTATATATTGTCATACACTCAGTTATGCATGAGATTCGAAGGATTTTGATGAACTAACCAAGAAATAGAAAATATACAAAAAAGCATTACTTACTATAGTACAAAGTTATGTAAATTAGGCAACATCAAAGTATCCGATACGGAACCTTCCTTCGACAGCGTTGACTAAAATTGTATCTGATAAAAAAAGATTCTGTCTGTTATATCGAAATAAATTATATTAAACTGAAGAAGTTATCTGCATATTTACACTACATTACATTAAATTATGCTATTAAGACTCGAATCACGATTTTTTTTTAATCTGCTTATGTGTTTGTATATAAGGGCTGATCTTCGGAATACTGAAAAAACTGTAATGGAGCTTCACGAACAGATAGACTGCAATGCCAGAAGTGATTTTATACGAAAAACTGGTGGATTAAAAGAACCGTATTACTTGTAATATATACTGTTTAAAGTCGGTTGTGGGTACCCATGGACTGAAGTCTCACAGGCCATGTAAGTTAAACAAAATTCAATTCTATTTAAAAAAAAAGTCTAAAGGTAAACATCAATTCGACCCTTTTGAGGAAAAAGCCGTTTACGACCGTCAAGTAACTTGTTTAGAAATAAAATACTACTGAAAAAATAATCAAGAGATTTCATTAATGTCGAAAAACACAATTTTAATATTATTTTTGATATTTTTACCTTTATTTTAGCATTTATGTTTATATTTTACTATAGAAATATAATTAAATAAATATTATGATTTCTTAAATTTACGCGAACACTACACATTAAATAAAACTAAATTTACGGATTTTATCGCGTTTATTTCAATACTTTTACTTATTTTTAAATAAATATTATCTAGTAGCCCACAAGAACGAAAATATGTCATAAATTGTCGTCAATATGCTGTTTTAAAAATGTTAACGTTTTACGAGGCTATAACTTAAAGCTTAAATAAATAAATAAATTAATTATTTTACTTTTATCTTAAATTTTTTGCATTCTTATAAAAAATTGAATAAAGATTAAACTTAACTTAGATCAGAAGAAAGTAATATGTGAACATATCTCACTGTCAACTTTAATACATACATGATAATAAGATGATAAGAACTTTAGACAAAGGCAGACAACAATAAAAAGTATCTCTCAACGAATTAAAAGAAGACAATAACATTTCAACAGCTATAATTATTTAAATAACGTAACACTATGGCAAGAATAAATAAATAAATAAATTAGTTTAACTAAATCAACCTAAGTGAACTTATAAATCACGAATTGTCCTTTTGATAAAGTTCAATTATTTTTATTGTAGTTTGGTTGTCCGTCATCTACAACAACGTCGATATCCACTTCGTACGTTCCAGGCTTTGTTAAAGAAGGCCTAACAGCAATCCCAGGCATCCTAGATTGAACGCTGTCAATTTCATTCTCAGTCACATCACCCTCATCTGTGTTAGGCAGTGAGTGAAAGCTTCCTAAATGCTCCGGCGGATTTCTAACAGACATCAAACCTTGAATGCGTTGGACCAAATATTCGATAATGGGGCCGAATCTTGAAACGCCGTCGGTTGTAAGGATTGTTCGCTCCGGTGCACCCTCTTTTGGCTTGAGCACGAACATGTTAAAGGTGAGCGTGCGTCGCACGGGCTTGGCCGCTGCCTGATACAAGCAGGCTATAGCGACCAGAACGACAAGTGTGCGTGGAGACATCTTCTGAGTATGGTTCATCGGCAGCGTGTGGCCGGCGCGGCGTATGCCTGAACACTGCGCGCGCTTCGTTTTTGCCCCGCATCTAAACCAAGATAACGGGTCTTCGGCAAAAAGATCATAATTACTATGCTGCATTACGATAGATGCTGGATAATTGCAGCGATCTCTCGACACCTTTCGTTTGGAAAGCACTCACCATCTTAATTTAAGTGAGTCATCACTATTAAGTTCCAAACTGCGGTGATCTCCGAACTCGATTTCGCGACTCTTTTTCTTTATACCATATGCACCTATCGCGGTATCAAACGGGTCTGCTCGAACTGGATTTTGCAATGTTATTATTCTGTCAAAACGTTTGTAACGCAATGGTTGCGTGTGGTACTTAGTAAATCGCAATAAGATCGCATTTCATTTGTTCGGATGATTTTTAACAAGTAGCATTTGGTTTTTTATTAATATTTACAGCTTTAATAGCTCAGATCAGGTGATTGATGTTAACATAATGATGCAGTATCAAGGTCACCCAGTGCAAGCGACGATTAACAAAATGCGGTCAGTAGGGTTTGTATTGTTTTGGTTATTTATCTTATTCTTAAATGGAATGGAGTAAAGAAATGGATACGTATGAACTGGTTGCCTGCTTTATAAATCTAAGATGTTAAAAATTAACTAGCCACTGGTAGAGCCATGTTGCCGCTATATTAGTAGTACAGTTGTAGTACGAATGGGTTGGCTCGAACGGGAAAGGACCACGCTCTAATGGAATATCAGCATAAAATAGCAGATTAACGCTGCTGTGTTTCGTATAGTGAGTGTAGAGAATCGGAGACCCTTTTTACTGGAAATGAGGCATTCCATCGTAGTCCTCACGGGTGACAACGCATCTGCCTTTTGATTATCATTATCGAGGATTGATGTCAATGTCAATAGGACGCAGCAACCACTTACCATAGGTTTACTGTGTGCTCGTTTGTCACTCTTAACCTATAAGAAAAATTGGTTGACCCTGCAGGCCGTTAACTTTCCAAATATGTCGCGAAATTTCGAAGTTATGTAATAAAAAAACGTTTTTTTTAAAATTCTTTCTCCTTCGATATCTCACGAACGAATGAACCGATTTTTAGTTTCCAAACGGCATTCGACGTCATTTTTTGAGATTAAGAGCTAATTAGTTTTTGAAACCGATCGGTAAAACAGTTCAAAAGTTATCACAAAATTTTTATTTTTGAGATTTCTCAAAATCTATTCGTCTGCTACTGTAGTTCATATTGTTACCAAATCTATTCCAAATTGAGATCTTTAGAAGACCGCAAACCACATCTCAATCGATCAAGACATTCACGGCACCTCAATGATGGGATCTGTAAACGGGTACCTGCTGGACATATGCATTATATAGCATATTACTAAATGCTATATAATGCATATGTTCATCGTTCAATTAGCTGGTGGGTACATGCAATCTACAACGTTGTAGCAGATGGGGACAATTCGCTCTGCTACCTATCATCTTAAGAATACTTTTGGGCTGGCCCTTACTCTGCGCACCAGCGATGCAGCTCTTTTACGCAAAGTTGAGTAAAAACAATCTACATGTGCTTGAGCAAACATCGCTGATGCGCTGCACCGTCGGGACAGCCCCTAAGGCACCCGGAACCGTTGTTATACTCGATCCGGAGAGCTCCATAGGCCTATTGCGTGTAATCCCTCCTTAAGCTGCACGTATAAAGAGATGTGCAAAACTATTATCACCAAGGATAAATTTCATTTAATAGTGTAGTATCTACAGTAGTTCAAACTATGACTTTCTTTGTTTAAAACAATTGTTTGCTTTGTTTCCAGGTTACTAAAGACAATCACAAGATTAGCTTTGGAATACCGATCGTCGTTGATTACTTTTGTCGATTGTTTAGAACGAATCGCAATATTTTCGTCCTCATTTCGCGAGCCTGATCTAAGTAGGCCACACGTGTGAGGCTTAAAAATTCACACCTTCTTTACAGATCTCCCCTTTGAATAGTAAATTGTTGATGGCTTAATGTTGAATTTAAAATTGTGTGATTCTAAATTAAAATTTAAAGTTATATAAAACTGTGTTTAAAGTTGTAAAACGCCATGAAAAGTATTAAGAAAGCTCATAAATTAAAGAAAGAAAATGTTAAATCGTCGCAAACTACCAAAAATATAGCCTGAAGCCATCGCTCATGATATGGACTATTATATAACTTTCGGTTGACTGAAAATAAGTTTACATGACTGACTGAAATGGGTTCTCGAATACAGATGGCTCAGGATCGTGACTGCCTGACCTATAATGAAGATGACGCGAGTTTTTTAGGTTATTCTGCTTATAATGCATATATCCAATTAGGGATTCTGTTATAAAGTGGAGTTAAATGTTGACATAATCGTAATCAGTCCGACATAATCAGACGTAAATGACCAGCAATGCTTGACATTGCTGATCATTTACGTATTTACCGTAACAAACAAGACAAGAAGCCACTGTCATTACAGTTTCAAAAAAATTGCCAAGTACAATTCAAAAAAATTAAGTGCAGCTTGAGAAAAATGAAAAAGTTACCAGCTCAAACTATAAAACGTTGCCTTAAATACCCGTTATAATAATCATGTTGTTCATTCCAAAAAAACTGACGGTTTTAACGGAAACGACCCTTAGTATTTTATATTTCTTCTTATAAATCTTTCTTATAATCCAATGAATGCTTAGCGAATCTTTCGCTTTTGCTAACGGGAAATTTATTGAAGCATTATCTACTGTAGATCATGTCAATTTAGTAGCAACAATTTCTCACTAACTTTACCACTTAGACGTAATTCTACATCCAATTTACAGACAGCTTAACAGCCTGCCCGAGTAACGTTGTTAATCTCAACATTTCTACCCAACTAATATTTTCTTTATGGTTTAACGGTGAAAGTTGAAAGTCCTACAACTTTGTCCGTGTTTATAAGTTTGTCGGAGTCCATATATTTTATCGCATCAACTAATCGTACAGGAAAAGACTCCGTTACTGTCCATTTATAGAAACAAGGTATTGGATATGATAGCAACGGTAGTGGCTTAATGGATCTTGACTATTATATGTTGCGATATTGAATATCTCTATCAATTTATTATTAAATGGTGCTAATAGCTAACCGAGTAATTAAGTAACAAATAAATATAAATACCTTTTAATACTTATGTAGATTTTAAATTTTGTAACAAATAAAATGTATGAATGCTACAACACTTAAATAAATTGACCAACTATATTCGTCGACTTTGTGATCCGCATCAGAACTAGAGTAACAACTAACACGGCCTAACGAATCAGTACGCTGAACAAAGAGATTTATATATATATATAACTACTTAAATGTCTTTGACGCTGAAGAAGCAATGGACAGGCCATATAGGTGAAAGAACCAATATCAGATGATTCTCGAGTGACAGACCGTACAGATAAGTATAGGGCGACTATAGTAAGAGATTTTTTTGTAGGATAGGCTGACAAACGAGCGCATAGTCCACCTAATGGTAAGTGGTTGCTGTGGCTCACAGACATCTACATCTATCCTCGATTACAAACGAGATGCGTTGTCACCCGTGAAGACTAAAATGGAATGTCTCGTTTCCAGTAAAAAGGATCTCCAGTTCTCTACACTCACTATACGAAACACGCCAACATTAAACTACTATTTTACGCTGGCATTCTGTGAGAGCGTGGTCCTCGATCGGGCCGACCCATTCGTGCTACAACTATACTACCAATATAACTGCAGCATGGCTCTACCACGTATAAAAGAGATGCAGACAGTTGCTTGCAGGCAGTTCAGGATCGTGATGCTAAAACAATGCTCAACTTCTTTACACCAGACGTGCACACACTTTTTTTCTTTCTTTATTTATTGGCTGGTAAATGTTCACTGCTCGACGCAAAAATATACACCATAAGCCAGGTTGTATTGGTTGCAAATGATTTAAGATGCATATACACATACGTACGTAAGTACGTATATAATACGTTGAGTATAGTTTTGGCTCGATTTTTGCGTCTCTTGAAATGACCGCAAAGCTCCGTCTTTGTTTGGACTGAGTTTGTAGGTAGCAATGTGTACTTAACAAATTAAGACAATATCTGTCTGATACAATTATGCTGTAGAATGCAATAAAGCGATAATATTTATAACATATTTTTCTTTAGCGACGTGCAACTTTTGTCCGATTAACAATGCAATGCTTGACGGGTGGTGAAAGTAGGTGCTATTTTGTTTCGATGTTTTATTACATGTAATTGCATGTGCAGTTTTGATGACTGCCGCGATTGGAAGGTCAGGGTAATTTTTGTACTGCCTGTTTGGTTTTTTGGTCAATAGAACATCTATCTTGTTAATAATTGTTATTGTTAGCAAGCTTTTCCGTTTTGTAGCAAATTGTCATAATTCATTCATTAGTTGATATTAGGTTGTTTTCTCACAATTATTATTCTCTTACCATTAATCTTTGCACAGTAAGCATGTATACCACAAAACAATATTATTCCTTACAAAGACATGAACAACATGTTAAAATTATAGAGGGTTTGTCAAATATTTTGGATTTTGCTGTTTTTTCTTTGAGAGTTGTATTTTTGACACTCTAATCTCATAAGATATTTAAGCGCTGTCAAAAACATTTGTACACAAAATGGTATGAGAACATAAAGCAACACGGGACACCGGCGGACCGGATAAAAGTAGCCATACGCATGCGTTCTCTTCTGTCAAAGTATAAGTCAACGCGGTCCTATACGTACAATAAAACTACATACAACCGCATAGCTCACTAGACTAAATCTGGTTGAGCGGGTGAATCGACGTTCTGCAATAATGCCGAATTGTTCAGTTTTTTTTTGTTGAAAAAGAGATCTGATACGTCAAATTTACAATAAAGTGGCGTTACCATTCATATATAAATGAATTTTAATCACATTTTTGCTATTGTACTTAATTTTAGAGTTAAAATTACAATATTAACGGTCGTGTTGTTTCGGATTTGTATCAGCAAGCGTTCGTGTTACCGACATCTTACCGTCATACAATATGCAGATCGGTCGAGCGACTGATTCGAGTCCGTATCCGAGTTGTCA